GTTTTTTTTTTTTGGTACCAGGGATTGAACTCGGGTCCTCGCGCTTGCAAGGCAGGCCACTGAACCGCTGAGCTAAATCCCCAGCCAGATGCCCATTTTTGAATCAGGTCTTTGTATTTGGGGGGCTGATTTTTTTGAGTTCTTTATATATTCTAGATAATAGTCCTTTGTCTGAGGAGCAGCTGGTAAACTTTTTCCCCACATTGCAGGTTGCCTCTCAGCTCTGCTGGTGGTTTCCTTTGCAGTCTTCTGCACTTTCTTTAGCCATTCTCCTCTTTCCCACACACTTTCTATTGACCAAAACAAGTGCCCGGGAAAATCGGAACTCCCTCTCTTAGCAAGCAGTTCAGTGCCCATCTCTATTATGTAATCAAGACCCTCAGCAGCAGCCTTAAGCCTCCTTTTGCTTCCGCGGCATACTGAAATACATTTCCCAGTTTTACCAGGTCTTTCCCTAGGAAGAATTCTTCCAAATTTTTTTCTCCGTTATTACATTTCTAACCGAATTGCAGTGTCCTGCATAGCATGGCTAGACGATTAGTTCGTGTGTGTGTGTCTGTCTGTGTGTCTCTGTGTGTGTTATACAATATCTTTGAGGGCCAAGGGTTCTGTGGGGAGAATCTGCACCACTTACATTTCTAGCAGTTTCCCAAATGGGCAGATTCCCCACAGTATGGGCTGTCTCTGCAAGGGACAGAAAGAGGGCTGTGAGCAGCAGGAAAAGTAGTCAAATTAGGCTCATTCTCCATTGTAATCCTCTTGCCTTCCAATAATTGTGATTTCCCTTTTCCACCAGCTGACAGCTTTTGCTTTTGGAGGCGTAGGGCTGCTGTCCTCCTTGAGGGATCACTAATGCCTCAGCTCCTCCACTGAGAGCCCTTGCAGCATCTGCCTTGGTCCCCAGGAGGCTCCTCCCTCGCCCTTTCCTCAGCTCCCTCCTGTGACTCTGACACCTACTCTGGGCTGGCTGCTTCTCTGTCCCATTTATGGGTAGCTCCAAGGCAGGGGGCTATTTTGTAAGAAGCTTGTGTGTGGCCTATTCGAGGACAAAAGGGCCCTGTGTTGCTGCTGGAGCTTATTATCGGTATCATTCACCCACCGAGAAAAGAGCAGACAGCAAGGTGGAGAGGAAAATGGCCACACCTGTCCAAGCGGGGCCAGGTGCTTGAGATCACCAGACAGGAAGTCCTCCATCTGGTGTCACTGCTCGGTGGGAGAAGGGCCTGGGTGGTTCTAGCACGGCTGGGGAGCTTAGAGAAAGAAGCATGGGCTTGAGAAGGAACTTTATAAACATGAACCCAGAACTGGCTATTCATTTATGGGTTTCTGTGCAAATAAAAATGCAGGGCTTCTTGTTCCAAAAGCAAGGAAACAGCACAAAGTTACTAAAACACAAAACCTTTTCCTTTCTTCCATTCTCATTCTGTCTCTCTTCCTCTGCCTGTGTCTCTGTGTCTCTCTCTGTGGCTTTGTCTCTCTGTGTCTCTATCTCTCTCACTTTCAACTTAGTATTTGCCATTTAAACCCAAACTCCCTGGGTATAGGGTACTTGGCAAGTACTTGGTACTTGGTACTTGTAAGCACCCAGGGCTTTGCCCCATGATTCAGGGCTGTGTGCAGCCCCTTACCTTCTGGGTTCCCCTTCTTTCTGGCCACAGAGCTGTCTTGGAATTCCTACGGCAGGTGGTTGGGGAATGGAGACCCCTGAGAGTTGGTACATCCTCGGTGCCACCCTGTACAGGGCCACTTGTCCTGTGTCCTAGTTGTTACCATCCAAGTGGGGGTAGAAAAGGGCTCTAGGGGAAAAGGATGGGCAGCCGAGAACCCATCCCAGGGAAAGCAGAGGGAGAGGAGCCCATGCAGGAGCCTCGGAACTTACTCCATTGTCCTATCAGACTTCACTTACAAAACACAAATTCAAAAGTAAAACTGCTGAGAATTTCAACATGGTGACTGCAGAGTATTGAACCCAAAGAGTGTCCCTTTTGAGGATGAGGCCTTCTGGGGCTGTGCTGGTGGCACGCAAGGGTGCCCCTTGCCAGGCTCATAAACTGAGGTGGACGAAGGATGAAGGATTCTCCCATCCCAAGACCGTTTCCCTCATTCTAACCTGGTGTGCAGCCTCTTGGTTCCCTGGCATTGTGCTGCTTTCCATGTTGGAACTTTCTATAAAATGACAGCAGCTTTTCTCTGTCCCCTCCTATCCCTCTTCCTTGTTTTCCTGAAAGCCTGTTTGTCTCCTTGCAGTTGGTAGGGGGCAGGGGAGACCTTGAGGATATTCTGGGACAGAAGTGGCCCCACTTCCCAGAACGGCCTGAGCAGCTTCCTGGTTTAGCTGAGATGGGTGAGTGGGGGCAGCACTTGTGCAGTGGCTGGGCACTGGGGATGGGCTTTCCTCTAGGCCTGGCAGGGAGGAAGGTTTACTGGAAAAATCACGTATTTTTCTCAAATGTAGTATGGAGAGTTTTCTTTGCTCTGTTTGATGAGTTTAATAATGGTTAGAAGGCTAGCCTGGGCCATACATTTTAAAGGTTGGTCTAACTATATCTAAAGTCTATGCTTTTTTTTTAAAAGTCTGTATTCTTCTCTAGGATTCAGTTTATAGGGAAATAAGAGGAAAATGACCTTCATTTGGGATCATGAATACCAGCAGCAGAGACAGTATATAGGGTCCAGCCTTAATTCTGCTACTGAGGTAGTTTATAGCTTTCTGGTCTTTAGTCCGTTCATCTATGGATTTGCTGCATTTCCAGGTATTATTACGATCAAGTTGCAAATGCTCCTGTAGTGAGCTGCATCTGGAGCAAGTTGGTGTCCACTGAGTACAGACTGAGTTAGCTGCCTTAACTTCTAACTCAGGTGCTACGATGCCTAATTCCGCACGGCCTGTCTGTGTGCACCCGACTGCAAGCACCTGCCCAGCTGAGATGTGGGGCATCTAGGACATTCTGGTGGTGGAGATGCACTCACATTTGGCTTCAGGACTTCAGTGGAGAGACCCCTGGAGGAATGGCTGGCAGGCCTCGAGGCCCTGACTGTTATAACACAGCTGTCCCTCCCTCATAGCCCACATGGATGCAGGTGGCACAGTGACAGCAGGGAAGCCGGAGGGGACAGCATTGTACATCGTGTATGCTGTGCTGTCAGCCTTGCCTGGATGACAGAGAAGCAGCATCGTGGGATAGAATAGGGCAGCAGGGGCCATTGTAGAGTCCCTGTGTGCATCTGCTTGGCTCCCCAGCCACACCCAGTGGTCTGTTCCTTCCTCAGGGAGGCTGCACACTCGACCCCAGGGACCAAGTGTGTTAGTTGGCTCTGTCTGTCTGAAGACAGATTTAGCTCAGGGGGATTCCAAGACCAGCACTTGGAGAGGGAAGAGGGAAGCAGCCAGCCACCCTCAGACAGGCTGGCTGAGATGGCGAAGCTGGCGGGAGGGAGTCCAGCCTCAGGACTGCAGTCTGCAGGCCAGCATGACAGACGAGCCTGGCACTGGGAGGAAACCACCCCAGAGAGCGGGAACCTGCCCTGTCCGACAGGGTAGCCACCGTTGTGTGTGGCTATTTCAAGTAATGGAGATTAAACACAAAATTGAATTCCTCAGTCTCATGAGTCACATGTCAAGTGCTCAGTCACCAGAAGTGGCTGATGGCTGCCAGATTGGACGGTGTAATGGAAGGCGGTTCCATCACCACAGAAAGTTCTATTTGAATCTAAGCGGTCTCAGTAATGTTTTTATATTGTGTGGTAGAATGGCATTTTGGTATTAGTATTAACTTCACCTGTTTCTTTTTACCTTTTCTCTGTGGGTAGTAGAAACTAGTAAATTACTCACATGGCTTATATTTCTGTTATAGATGGGTACTGGGACACATCTCTATTTACTGCTTTTTTTTTTTTTTTTTT